ATTTCTATTAATAAAATGTGTTTATCTCCAATATCAGTCCCAACTCTCTTCCATTTGAAACATCTATTCTGTGTTATCTGCATCACTAAATATGCTCCTTAAAGTCATGTTACTTTCTGTTAGCTTCAGGGCTACCTCCTTCATCACTGGTACTCTCTTAATTACTCCTAAACTAAATCGTCTTGCCTATCACTCCTGCATTACCTAATTCCAGGTACACCCAGGTTTTGTAAACCTGTGTGTGAATTATAGACCTACTAATAGCACAGGTGCCTGTCTTTTGGTATGTTCTGAGGATAAGAAAAGTAATTTAATATAATAAGATTTTTTTCTAGTTTAAAATTAAAAAATATTTTTAAAAATTTTAATGTAATATCATCTTTGTTCCTATGAGTAATTTTTTATCACAAATGACCTAATTCTATTCATTACCTTCTAAAACAGTGGTTCTCAACCTGCGGGTTTCAATCAGTGTGGGAGTTGCTTATGGTAGCAGAATTACATATATGAAGTAGCAATGAAAATATCTTATGGCTGGGGGTCACCACAACATGAGGAAATGTATTAAAGGTTTGTGGCATTATGAAAGCTGAGAACCGCTGTTCTAGCTTGAAAATGCCTACTCATAGACACCAGTGAAAGTTGCAGAATATTTGTTAACATGTAAAGATGTGTCTCCGCCTAAGGTGCCTTCTGATTGCTTTAATAAAGACCTCAATGACAGTTAGGTTGGGAGAGAATAGGTGGGACTTCTGGGCAAAGAGAAAGAAAAAGAAACTGGAAACAGGAATCTGGCAGACTTCACCAGGGACTCTGAAGAAGTTGGAAGTAAGGTACAGAACAAAGGTAACCAAGTCATGTGGCAGAAGAGATGGGTTAAGTTGTAAGGGCTAGTTGGAAAAAAACCTAAGCTAAAGCCACACTTATATAATTCATATGTCTCTGTCATTACTTGGGGGCTGGTAATCCAAAGATAGTGCAACAAGAAAGCTTACTACAAATAAAGAACAACCCAATTGTGTTCTGCCAATTAATTGGAAAACACTTTTACCGATCATTCTACATTCCCTAAAAATGTTTGGCACAGAAAATGTTTGTAACATTGAAGCTATAACAATTACTTTATGTCTCAATAATGCATTTTATGCCTAAGAGAGCAATTCAGTTTTTCTGTAATTATTTGTGAATTATTAAGCAGTAATTTTCATTTATCCATGTCAATATTTAAATCCAATATGGCTTTTCCATGAAATGGAACATATTTATAGGCTAATTTCTTTTTGTGTTGGCTTTCTTGGTGTGTTTTTTAGGGAGGATAATCATAACGTTTCAAGCATGATCAATGTACTTTATGAAACCAAAGACCAGCTTAGCATTACTATCAAATGTATCAAAACAAAGGCAGATAGACAGATCTAACCATCACGTGAAAAATCCCAACCTATAATATTAATGCAGTGACTCTATCCTCTAAATTTAAACTCAGCACCTACTTATGGTTCTGCAATCCTTAAAATCAAACAGATTACTCTACTTATGCCCTAAACAACGTGGGTTGTGAAAGATAAGCCTTATTTTTAAGGCTGAAAAACAAAAATCACATGATCATCTCACTAGATGCTGAAAAAGCCTTTGACAAAATCCAACACCCCTTCATGATAAAGGTCTTGGAGAGATCTGGGATAACAGGAACATATTTAAACATAATAAAAGCTATATACAGTAAACCAACAGCCAACATCAAACTAAATGGACAGAAACTCAATGCAATTCCTCTAAAATCAGGAACAAAACAAGGCTGTCCACTCTCTCCATACCTTTTCAACATGGTACTTGAAGTCCTAGCTATTGCCATACGACAACAAAGGGGGATCAAGGGGATACAAATTGGGAAGGAAGAGGTCAAACTTTCACTGTTTGCAGACGATATGATAGTTTACATCAATGACCCAAAGAACTCTACCAGGGAACTCTTACAGCTGATTAACACCTTCAGCAAAGTGGCAGGCTACAAGATCAACTCAAGAAAATCAGTAGCCCTACTATATACAGATGATAAAAGGGCTGAAAGAGAAATCAGAGAAACATCACCCTTTACAATTGCCACAAACAACATAAATACCTTGGGGTAACGCTAACCAAACAAGTGAAAGACCTGTATCGTAAGAACTTTGAATCTTTGAAGAAAGAAATTAAAGAAGCCCTCAGAAAATGGAAAGATCTCCCATGCTCTTGGATAGGTAGGATCAATGTAGTAAAAATGGCAATCCTGCCAAAAGCAATCTACAGATTCAATGCAATCCCCATTAAAATCCCAGCACAGTTCTTCACAAACCTTGAAAGAACAATTAATCAATTTTGTATGGAAAAACAAAAGACCCAGGATAGCCAAAACAACCCTGTTCAACAAGGCAACGTCCGGAGGCATCACCATCCCTGACCTCAAGCTCTATTATAGAGCTATAGTCCTGAAAACAGCTTGGTATTGGCACAAAAATAGACAGGTAGACCAATGGAATCGAATTGAAAACCCGGGTATTAACCCACACACGTACGAACATCTGATCTTTGACAAAGAAGCTAAAAATATACAATGGAATAAAGAAAGCATCTTCAACAAATGGTGCTGGCATAATTGGAGACTGGCATGTAGAAGAATGCAGATCGATCCATGTCTATCGCCATGCACAAAACTTAAGTCCAAATGGATCAAAGACCTCAACATAAATCCAGCCACACTGAACCTCTTAGAAGAGAAAGTGGGTGGTACCCTTGAACGAATTGGTACAGGAGAGAGCTTCCTGAACATAACACCAGTAGCACAGGCAGTAAGATCAACAATTAATAAATGGGACCTACTGAAACTGAGAAGCTTCTGTAAGGCAAAGGACACAGTCAGCAAGACAAAAAGGCAGCCCACAGAATGGGAAAAAATATTCACTAATCCCACATCTGACAGAGGGTTGATCTCCAAAATTTACAAAGAACTCAAGAAGCAAGTCTCCAAAACAGCAAAGGACCCAATTAAGAAGTGGGCTGCAGAACTAAATAGCGAGTTTTCAATAGAGGAGTCTAAAATGGCTGAGAGGCACTTGAGAAAGTGCTCAACATCCTTAGCCATCCGGGAAATGCAAATCAAGGCAACTCTGAGATACCATCTCACTCCTGTCAGAATGGCTAAAATCAAAAACACCAATGACAATTTATGCTGGAGAGGATGTGGTGAAAGGGGGACACTCCTCCATTGCTGGTGGGAGTGCCAACTGGTTCAGCCACTTTGGAAATCAGTATGGAGATTCCTCAGAAAAATGGGAATAAACCTACCACAAGACCCAGCAACTGCACTCTTAGGCATATATCCAAAATATGCCCATTCATATAACAAAGATGTCTGTTCCACTATGTTCATAGCAGCTTTATTTGTAATAGCCAGAACTTGGAAGCAACCTAGATGTCCCTCACCCGAAGAGTGGATAGAGAAAATGTGGTACATCTACACAATGGAGTACTATTCAGCAGAAAAAAATAATGGAATCATGAGATTCGCAGGCAAATGGATGACACTAGAAGAAACCATCCTGAGTGAGGTAACCCAGTCACAAAAAGAGAAACATGGCATGTACTCTCTCATATATGGATTTTAGACATAGATCTGGGGAGTGCCAGCCTACAATCCTATGGCCAGAGAGTCTGGGAAACAGAAACTTTATTTAGTGGCTGATCGAAGAAGAGGCAGACTCCCTTGGTTAAGTACTGAGCTGAACTCAAGAAAGCCAGTAACAGAGAGGGAGGACTGATGATCAAAGGGATTAAGACTGGGCTGGTTTAACCCCCAGAAACAGCTGACCAGACAAAGGTTAACTCTTGAATCCCAGGCATTAGCCTGGGAAGTCAGCATGGGACTGATCAAGACCCCCTGAATCTGGGTGTCAGTGAAGAGGCCTAGGGAATCTATTGAGCCTTGGACAGCAGATCAGTACCCATCCCAAGTATACACACGGACTTTGGACTCCAATAGAACAATGTGAGGTGCACTCTCACCCAGAACTCTTGGGGAAGGGTCTAGGCCCTGCCCTATATGAAATGACACACTATGGACACCCCCATGGAGGGCCTCACCCTCCCTGGAGAAATGAGAGGATAACGGGGGGGGAGGGGAGGGCACGGGAGGAAGGGAGGGAATGGGAGAGGGACCTGGAACTGACTTGTGAAGCAACCTTGATTCTTATCTAAATTTAAACTGGAAAATAAAATTTAAAAAAAAAGATAGAAGTTAATTCTGTGTGAGCATTAAGTTGTATTATGATAATTGCTAATACTATGCTACTCTATTCCTAGGTATTATTAGAAATACTGTATCTTGATTTTCTAGAAATTCTTAAGATATACGCATTGCTATCAGTATGCTAAAAATTGAGAGAATTGACATGCGGAAAATTAACTAATGGCCCTATGTTAACAAAGGAACAGACATGCATTTGAACCTAATGCAGTCTGCTGTTAGAGTGTGTATACTAAAATGTACTATGTTGCCCATAGTATTAGCAGTCCTTCTCATTGAAGAGAGCACATAGAAATGGAGTTTCTTCCTCCTTCTGATACCTGAATAGAGTATCAACTGTCCTTAATTCTCTTCTATTGACAGCCCATTCTGATAACAAGTTCTTCTTGTCCTAGCATATCACCTGTGATATTAATATCTATTTTTATTGTCTAATTAATTATAATTCCTCAGAACAGTGATAATTTAAAAGATGGCACCAAACAGTCTCTAGGACATTGAATGAATTAAACAAATATCTGTATATGAACAAATATTTCTCCCCTTTTTTCGGGTCTTCCTGTTGGCATTCTAGGCTGTACCAGAACAATAATATCTACATCACACCATTATTACTTTCATATCAGCATTTTCAATTTTTCACGAGTGAAAACTTTACATTTCTCTTTGAAATGCCTATGGAATGTATATCAACCATTCCACCAAGACATTGTCTCACCTTCTAGATCTTCTTTCTCAAAATGCGTTTTGAGTATAGAACGTGTTCCACCTCTATCCACAACTGCTTCTTCATCATTTCTCTATAGAATAAGAAAAAAATAAAATAAACATATGTATACATATTCTCTTAATTTCAAAAGCTTTAATATGACCTACTATTTAGAGATGTAGTCTGCTAGATTATCAACTGCTGGTTTAAAAGAGAAGCTAAAGTAAGTTTGCTCAAATATTCAGAGTAGTAATCATTCGACTTAACTTTGACAATACTCATATATTCCTGTTGCCATCATTTGTTAGTGAGATGAAAAACAGGAAATAACTCTTTTCAAGTTATTAACAGTCATTTTATCACTGATAAAGAACTGCTATTAACGAGATCAAAATTTTAACTATACAGGGGAAATATTAAAATCATTAGTATTGACACCACAAATGTTATGGCAGGGTGAAATAATTCTGCTTCCATTAAAAATTGATCTAATCCCTTGAAAGCAATTAGTAGGCAATTATTAGATAATGAAAACTCTAATTACTTTGCTTCAGTGTGGGGTACCTTATTGAACAAGATTATAAATTATTAGCATGTGCATTAAATCTTCATTTAGTTTCCATATGTATTTCCTAGCTTAGAAAGGCTGAACAGTTACTAAGCACATAAATATTGTACACATGCTCAAAACATACTAAATAATTTGAAATACAGCAAAATAAGAGGAAAGTAATGTAATCAATTTGACCACAGAGGATGAAAAAGAATACAAAATACTGAGTAAAGTCTATTTCCAACTTTTAACTGCTCATGATATCTGTAAAGATTGAATTTAAAAGTGAACAATGAACATAGTAAGGGAAACACTCAAAAGAACGAAACTTCTGGGATCTATTTCTAAGTAAGTCCTATTATATGACTATTTAAAATGAAAAAAATTAAAATCAAAGAGTGCATTGTAAAAAAGAAGAACCTTTTCCTTCTGTCCACCCAACCATCAGACACTGTTGACAACTCTCTTTCTCTGAAAAGGCAATCTTTGACTAAGTCCAGTAATGTTCTATCCCTGAGCTGGGATCCTTAAAGGCAATTAGAATAACTGGAGCTGGGACATACATAACAGAACTTAATTACCAAAGACAAGACACTAATGTTTAGCATAAGGACAACCAAATCAAACACTGATAAAAAATGGTCTGATTCACAGAGACTTAAAATTTGAAGTGAGGCAGATGGACAGTCTACGGACAGTCTACTAAATTCTTATCTGATTTAATGAAGAAGTGCCAATGATGGCTAACTGATTCAATTTACAAGTCTGAATGTTTGAAGGAGGGACAATACAGATCTAGTTGAACAAAAATCATGATACACTAACCCAAATTTATAGTCTTTATTATAACCATCTCCAAAAGAATATACCTACTTTTGCCAGGACAGCTAAGACTGAAAAAGGAAACAATCAAACACATGGGAGTTGCTGGACAGAGAATTGTAGCCAGAGCACAGCTGGATGACAGTAAGTAATCAACAGAGCTACAGCTTAAGTCTGTCTTGTGGGCCAGTGGGTTCCTGAACCCCAGCTGGTGGTGTTTCTCAAGTTGTCAAGTGAATAACTGAAAGAGACACAGATTATGATAGGAAAGTGTTCAACATGAGAGGGACGGTCTTCTTTTCAAGCCATTCCTTTGCACATCTGATGGTTGAAAGGAAGATGCCAATAAAAAGCACTAAGATACTTAGACAAAAGTAAATTAGCATTTTATTTTAGCAAGTTCCTGAAAACAAAACGGTATTGTTCTAAATACTAAGCTACTATGAAGGGACTCCATTTTACTGAGATCTAGAGGGAGAGCTCTTGGTGTTTGGGTGACAGAGGTTGTGTCATTCTCCAACTTAACAAAGTGAGTAACATTTAAAAAAATGAGCTACAGATAAGGGTAAACACCCAAAACACCTGTATCAGATATTACATGGCAATCCTTGATTTAACTCACAACTTTTATGTTTTATCAGTTATTTTTTTAAGTTGGAAAACAAAAATATTTAAATCTACTATGAGAATGATATTGTCATTGATATCGTAAGACTTCTGAGAGGTAACTACTTCTATGAACTCTAATTTGAGATGGCAGAGGATCCTGAGAGAAAAGCATCAAAATCTCTACTATTTCCTTTTCATAAAGTATTAAAGGCAGTTAAGACCCTGTGAGAGAGACCAAGGAAATGTAACATACCTCCAATTAACCTTTCTGACTTGTTTACTAATTCCTTAGAAACATTTTCAGAAAATTAGGCACTAGTTTTGTGAAGGCAGTGGGTATTGCATGATTAACTGTTTGCCTATTTTAAAACGATGTGAAGAATGATGCTAAGACAGTATGGAGACACCATTGCTAGGTACATATTCCACTTTGTATCAAGTAAAATTTGAAAGTTCTCATGTCCACAAGAAGGACCGAATTATTTACTTATAAAAATGCTTTTTTAATTGCAGCAGATAATCTTGATAATTGGCATACATTTCTTACAAATGTACTTGGCCCTAAGGTAAGGTAGTATGTATGCTTTACACCTAATAGGGTATTGTGTGTTTCACAAGTGCACAATCTGCAATAAAAGGACATATTTTTAGCCTGTCTTTCTGACATATCCCAGGAGAGAGCAGGAAATAAATATACACTATGAATGAGAAAAATTAGAGAGAAATTAAAATGAAGAAATAATTTATGGATTATTGGTATATTCTTTATTAAAATATTTAAGCTCTTGGTTTAAGCAATAAAAATCAATGGAAAAACTAAAGATGTGATTCATATAATTGTTTCTGAACACAATAAAATTCAGTCCACTCAGAACTATTACTGATAAATTTACAAATTACTTTATTATGTGTACAAAATATATTCAAATATGTATCACACTTAAAAATATTCCTGTTCTTTCACTTATTTTTAGGTCAAAAACTACGTCAGGCATTCACATTCAAAGTCCAAGAAAGCACGATCCCACTTAATTGCTGTTTCTATCAAACGCAAATGACAAACTGGGCAGGGGACCAAACTAATGCTCTCATCTATACTAATGACTCAGCTTCTATGTCTCACAAATATACTTGACTTTCAAATATAGGATTATAGGTGTATTTCAATTCAAAACTACAGCTCATCATTCCAATAAATTTAATATTTCTTTATGTAAAAATGAACCAGAAAATGAGTTTTATTTTATGTTTCATTTTGAGAATTTTTACATACATAACTCCCTTAAATGTTCACTGGGTATACAATGAAGATATTAAATGAATGGACTTTTTGACTGAAAATGTCCAAAATACAAATTTTTATTAATTCATGAATTTAAAGTCCTCTATATTGATTATGGTTCAAAGGATCAATATTATTAGAGAGACCTTATGAATAAATTCTTTCCCCTTGTTACTCCACAAAAAATGAATTGTGATACAGGGAATGTGGAGGGACCTATGGCTAGGCTTTATATCTACTTTAAGGTTACTCCCAAATGTATTACATTGAACTTAATTTTGTATTGAACCTCTCTAGATGTTACTGGGCATCAAACACATCAATGCACCCTACCTTACATAATTATTTATCCATCTATGGAACAATTTTAGCAGTGTATATGAAAAAGAGCATAAATATATAATTGTCTTCAATACAATTTAACATTTCCCATGGGTAAACTATTTACGTATATGTTGGCAAAAAATATGTATCTTTGGAAATTGCATGTATTTTGACCATAGTCACCCCCTACCATTACTCTCATAGCCAAACCCTTTCTCTGCTCACTCAACTTAGTGTTCTTGTATTTTTTAAAGTTCATTAAGTCCAATTTTTTTGGCAAAAAAAATTTATTTAAGCTTTTTTTCATTTCACATACTAGTCCCAGTTTCCCTTCATCCCCTTCTCCTCCCCCATCCCACCCCCCAACCACTCCTCCCACAGGGCAAGATCTCCCTTGGTGAGACAACAAAGTCTGGTATACCAAGTTGATGCAGAACCAAGCCTCTAGCCCCCATATCAAGGCTGAGCAAGGTATCCCACCATACGGAATGGGCTCTAAAAACCATTCATGTGCTCAGGATAACATCTGGTCCCACTGCCAGTGCCCCCAACAGATCAAGACACATAACTGTCACCCATATACAGAGGGCTTAGTTCAGTCCCATACAGGCTCCCCAGATGTCAGTCCAGAATCTGTGAGCTACCACAAGCTGGGATCATCTGTCTCTGTGGTTTTCCTCATCATGACCTTGACTCCTCCTTGCTTATATGATCCCTCCTCACTCTCTTAAACTAAGCTCCAGGAGCTCAGCCCAGTGCTTGGCTGTGAATCACTGCATCTGCTTCCATCAGTTACTGGATGGAGGCTCTATGATGACAACTACAGTAGTCACTAATCTGATTATAGGGGAAGGCCAGTTCAGGTACCCTCTCCATTATTGCTAGGAGACTTAGCTGGGTCATCCTTGTGGATTCCTGGGAATTTCCCTAGCACCTGGTTTCTCCCTAACCCCATAATGGTTCCCTCTATCAAGGTATTTCTTTCATTGCTCCCACTTTCCATCCCTTCCCCAATCTTAACTATTTCCATCTTCTGGGGCCCTCCTCTTAGGGTACTCCCTTTTACCCAGCTTCTCTGGTGTTGTAGATTGTAGACTGGTTAACCTTTGTACCTAATATCCACTTAGGAGTGAGTACATACTGTGTTCCTCTTTTCTGGCTCCAGGTTACCTAACTCAGGACAGTTTTATCTACTTCCATCCATTTGCCTGAAGATTTCAACATGTCATTTATTTTTACTGCTGAGAAATACTCCACTCTGTAAATGTACCACATTTCCTTTATTTATTCTTAGGTTGAGGTACATGTAGGTTGTTTCCAGGTTCTGGCTATTATGAATAATGCTGCTATTAACATAGTTGAGCAAATATCTTTGTGTATGATTGTGCATTCTTTGGGTATATTTCTAAGAGTGTTATTGATGGGTCTTGATGTAGATTGATTCCCAATTTTCTGAGAAACTGCCAAACTGATTTCCACAGTGACTGTGCAAGTTTTTCTT